AAAAAAAAAAAAAAAAGATGCTGTTACTTTAAGGAACCCAGAGGACTCTTAAAACAGTGGCATATTTTATTTTTTAAGACTCCTAAAGCAGTGGCATATTTTACTATTTTCTACCCTTTAAAAGAGCCAAATCTTCTGCAAAAGATTTGGCTCTTTTAAAGGGGAGCAGAGGGGAGCTGTGCTTGTGAGAGGCCAGAAGCAGTTTTCCTTGTGACGCGTGCACACTCCTAATATTAACTGCATGATGCTACATCATGCAACTTAGTCATAGACTTAGAATTTGCAAAATATTTCTGTTGAGGCCTTCAGAGCTGAACACATGGCCCATCGCTGGAGAAAGGAGAAACCGTCTGTCATCTAGGCTGGCATGTCATTGTTTAGTTTACAAATCACCCCACCCTTCTCTGCTGCCCACTCTCATCCATGGCACAACCTTCTGGTTCCATCTTCCCCCTCACTTCTGCTTTACCCTTATGTGCCAAATAGTCCATCGTGACAGGCATAAGTGAGCCAATCATCTCCCTTGAAATCCGTGGCAGATAGAAATGCTACAATTCCCATTCTAGTACTTTCAAGCAGGCAACATGCGTAGTGTTGTGGTGGGGGAACGAGGCTTGACTATTTCAAGACCACATGGGCAGGATGACCAGATCCGGGTTGTAAGAATCCAGACCACTGTTGGATGGCAGCAAAAAGTTACACAAAACTCTCTTGGACACCATGTAATGATCAGCTAGAGTTTGGCCACCCCGATCTGGTAGCCTATATAGGCTGCGGAGGAATTGTGGATCACGGTTCCTGGAATGGTCATGTGACTTTACAGTTTGGTCACGTGGTTGTTCCTGAAAGTGATAGAGAAGATGCTTTTCTTCGAGTGCCTGGTGCTTCAGCATGTTCACTGGTCTTCTTAAATATGAAACAAAGCTATAACAGAATTCCCTGTCAACTCTTAATTTTAATAATATTAATAATAATATTAATATTATTAATCATAATAATAATAATAATTTCAGCCCTTCTGCAGTGTTTATTTTCCTTTTGAAGCAAACAAGCATTGGTGTGCAAAAGTTTCAGATTTACTTTCAGAGAAATGCATGATAGATTCTTTTTTACCCCTACTAAAGATGATGGCAGCAAAACTATTTGGATATAATAAAAGAGAAGAGAAAATACAGTACTTCCAATTTTTGAGGACAGGGAAAATGCTGGATTCTTGCTTCGTCTCTTCGTCCTTCTCTAGCACACGGTTGAGTAGCAGAAAATAAAACGGTAGGGGGTTGGGGAACTCAGACGATGGGAAAGTTGGTTCTGGGCGGAGGAGGGTTTGGCATGTCCATGTATTAATGCATGCACCTTTTTTGCTGTCTCTGGAGAGCAACATTACTTTTATTCCACAGATGAAGTGGGTATGAATGAAACTGCTGCCATCATGTCCTATTTGGGTCTCTCAACACAAAGAAATAAATGCGGTGCATTCAAGTTTTTTTAAAAAAAATTATTGATGAGTCTTGCCACATTATTATTAGTGGTAATGTTACAGTAAACCCTCAGTTTCACAACCTGACAGGGCTGAAGGGGCATCCATTAAAGCAAAATGTCCATTAAATCCAAATAAGAATTTAGACAAGAGTACTTTTTGTAATTTGTGGATTTTAAGCCTGTGTAAAATGGCCATTTGATGCATGCAAGAAAGTGTGGGTATGAAATTTGGTGTTTTGCATCCAAAATCTTCTAAACCAAAGCCTGTTAAATTGAAGGCCTACCTTATCATCGTTATTGACATTGGCAGTAATTCAGTCAGACTCCTTTAATTATTTAAATTATTGTTTAATTAAATAATATTTGTAATTAATAATGCATACCTTTAAGAGACATTGATTTCTATACAAAGAATAACCCCCCCCCGATATTTACACAGAAATGAGTGACTTTTAAAAGTATTTATTATTGATTACAAATATTGTTTAATTGCATTAATTGGCTGCTTTAAGAATTGTATTAACTTTAAGGAGTAGGTTCCTTAAAAGAGTGGCATCTTTTCTTCAGGCGTGTCCAACAGCTGAAAAAAGTTGAGCTGCTTTAATGAATGACAAAATGGCGCTTCCCTTTTCTGAAGTCTGCGTTATTTTTGAAGCCTACACAGTCCTCATAATTTGCTCTCAGGGCACCCTGTGCTATAGGAGCTGCTGGGTTTCTCAGCAGATGACTGGATGTTTTACCCTTAGCGCTGCACACCCTCGGTTGGAGAGAAACCTTTTTTACATTGGAAGCCGGTGACATTCACTAAAGAGACCAAGCCAGGTTTATGGCACTGACGGATGAGCTCTGGCGAGATGGGCAGGATAACAGGCAGGCCCTCGTGGGAAGGAGCCAGGCGCTGTCCCTGGAAAATGAATGAAAACCTTTTCCGTTTCCCATCGATTCGACTGGGACCTGTCTTGCATGACAATGACCCACCTTGGGGGGTTTGGTGCTGCAATGATTGCCACTGGGTGTTATCCCTTTGCTACTTACTTATAACTGATCGGTATACTAGGAGTTTGAACATGAACAGACCGAGAGGGAAGATTTGTATTTCTTTCCGAAAAGGCATTTTTTAAAAAAATTTAAAAATACAGGCACCTGTGAACACGCAAACGCAGATATATACACAAAGTCGATTTCCCTTGTTGAAATACACTACATCTCCATAAAAACCCTATTCTAACATCTCGTCTAGAGATTGGACCTTGGGAAAATTCTGATTAAACATTTTGATTATTCCATTTATTTATATAAAGAGAGCAGAGTGAATCTTTTGTTGCATTCCTAAGGACAGTATTCAGAAGGAAACATGCATAGTTTAATGAGTCTTTAATTACAGATAGTTCAGCAAATGTACACTTCTCATCAATATTTAAACTTGAAGAATTAATTTTATACCAATTCCCTATGCGTGTAAAATAGATATTTGTAACTGAAAATTGTAAATGTTCATTATTTTTCCATAATTTATGCTAATAACCATGGATAGGTGAGTCCATCTAAGGCTTAGTGGCAGTTCTTCTAAAGCAGAGGTTTTGTAACAAAACGGTTATCTCTTTCCCGTCTTTAGCACTAGTAACAAGTAGAGTTATTGTATTATGTCAGTGCTTATATCAGAAGTTTTTATGTTCTTCCTATTTCTATATTAAGGACTACATGTGGCTTACACAATTTTTTAAAATCCACAATTATTTATTACATATTTTGCAGGCTTTATATGCTGCCCCAATCATAACATTTTATTATACATTTTTAAACAATATACAAAATTTAAAAACCCTAAATACAAAATAATACAAAAACAACGGACAAAACTAAAAAGAATGTAACTAGTGATAAATAATAAACAAAACAGAGAAAAGGAAAAATTATAAACCTTCTAAGCATATCACCTATACATTAAATATTAAACAATATATTAGATTTCAAGTTTAAAAGAGAATAAGATTCTCTTATTGTAAAATATCATGAAATCTGTGCCAAAGGGAAATATATTATGTCATTGTTTGATTAGCAGAAAAAAAAGTATTTTCAAAAATGGATAGATTACCCTTAATGTCTGGAAGAATAATAATAAAATAATAAAAATAATATTTTTCCAATTTCTCAAAATAATTGTCTTAGCAATTCCCCATGTCCAGTGTAGCCAAAGTTGCTCAAAAACAGTCATATTCCACATTTGTGGAACATAATCCAACATAACATTAAGATCTTTAACATTAAAAGATTTCCCCATAAATTGACTCACAGATATTAAAATATTGTTCAACAAAGATGCCAAGTCAAAGGACCATACAGTATAAGTCAGTGACCTCTTCCATAAAATTAAATATTCATGAGCCTCAATGTCAACAATCCAATCTACAACCCAACAGGGCTCAAACATCTCCGGCTATTCTCAATCCCAGCAGTGAAAGGCCCTTTTTACTATATATTGACCCAAGTAATTGCCAAGGCCTTAATGGAAATCAATCAGAAGTTTCCAATGAGATCCACAAAGGACGATAATCTACTAAATTTCCATTCCACGTGAATATGGTTGATATGATAAAAGCCCAATTATATTTTTAAAATCACTAGCATCAAAATATTATCTCAGTTTAGCCAGGGAAATCCTTGGTAGTCTGTTTTGCCATAAAAATGTCCTCAATCATTTGTCTATCTGAAGAAAATACTTGGATGAGTTTTTATGTTCCATTTCTTCCTGTTCTATATTGAGGAGTATGTGTGGTTTAAAAGATTCTTAATATTTTAAGGGTAAGGCTGAGTAAGTAGTAACTTGCTGAAGACTAACTCAACTTTTGTGGCTGAGCGAGAGATTTAAATCTGGCTTGAGAGATATGAAGATTCCCCCCTAAAAAAGATCAGGTGGGGAGAAGGTTAGTATGTGTTTGTTTTCTTGAAAAAAAATGGGAGGAAAGCTTCCTCACCTATTATGAATATTTTCTTTTACAATGATGAATAAAATATATCTTCCACTCTTTTGCTGCCCACAAGTTACATCTAGGACTATGCAACCAGAAGACTTTGTTTGCCCAGGATCATTAAAATTTTATGCTAAAGACATGCAGTCCTTGCAAGATGCTCCAGGGTTGGGGCTGGGGTAGGCGCTACAATTTTCACAAGAGAAAAACAAGAATTCACTATCATTTTTCTCTGGGTGCACACATGTTCAGTGTTGTGGAGGTCAGTGGAATATAGTGGAGCCAGCAGCAGTCCCGCCTCCTCAGGAGAACAGATCTCGGAAGGAACTCTGCTTCCAACCTGTAAAACAACAGAGAAGGTCAAGGAGCTAAAAGAAAACATACTTTTTTACTGAATGTTTGGAATACTGAATTCATCAAGCCAAATTGTATTGTAGCTACAGTAATATATTTTTAGATGAGAAGCCAAGTTAGTCTGTTGCAACAACAACGAAGCACTTGCAGCACTTCAGTGGTCTATTATCCAGATACAGGTAGTTCTTGTTTAGCGCCCACAATTTAGACTGGCAACTCGATCATTAAGTGAAGTAGTCACTAAGTGAAACATCACAATTTTACAATCTTACTTCAGCTTTCCTTTGCTTTATAGATCTGTGAAGGTCATAAATGCAAGGATTGGTCACAATGTTACTTTTTTATCACTGTTATAACTTCCAATGTTGATGTCACTAAACAAGGATTCCCTGTAGTTCATTAAGTGGATTGTAATTCATAAAAGCTCATGTGATCATAAATGTGTTAGTCTTTAAGGAAGTAAAATTAAGTGTTCCAGGTGACTTGCACAGACACATTCATACAGTTTTTCTGGATGTTACAGAAGTAGTTTGCAATTGCCTTCTTCTGAATTTTTTTTTTTCAACTTTCCAATCCAGCCTATGGTCTTTAAGGTGCCACACAGTTCTTTGTATTATATTTTCCTAGCCTATGTTAATAGTAATAGAATTCTTATTTATTAGTGGTTTTGTGGCAAAATTGATCACTGCAGACACTTTTAAATTAATGGATCCTTATATTCTTATACTGGTGATGCCAAAGATTAGGATTTTAGGAGCACACCAAATTATGCATAATGTAATTTATATTCAAAAAGCAACAAGGAGATTTTAAATCTATAAAGAATATTGAAGAAAAATACTTCATTTTTTCCAGATTTCTGTATTATTTTTCTTGGCTTCAGAATGTATGAAAATCTTTAGATCTCCCATATCCTGAAATAGAGCTTTGTTCCTCTGTGAAAATTGAATGTACACAAGTGAGTAGCAGAAGATAAATGATCAGAGAGAGATGGGTGTTTTGTGGCAGAGTGATGAATTTGGGAATAGTTAGAGGTGGAAGCAGAAAGAAGGGCTACCCACGTGCATTCAGCACATCAGCCTGTCATCCCTGAGCTTTATTTCATTTATTCATTCATCTAATTAGGTAGTGCCAAAATGTGCCCAGCACTTTACAGGAAGGGGGGAAAAAAACAGGGCAAGTTCCTGTTCTGGAGAGCTTCCAATCTGAAGTTCAGTAGAGAAAATGGAGAGATGGCAACTGAAAAAAAAAGAACATGCACTCACACTTTGCTCAGTTCAGCTGGAAATAGAGCAAGGGAATAAGGGGAAAGGATAGCTTACCATATACTGTGAACTCAGCCAGTTTTGGCTTATTCATCACCCCATGGTTAAGCCAACCACAGCTTTGTACAGTATGTGAATCTAGTTAGTCTGAGAGATGACCGACAGGAGCTAAGAAGAAGGGCTGAAATATTTAGAGAAATGATCTATCCTGCATGGCAACTGACTGAATATGCAAGATGGGGGAGCTTGATTGATTGATTGGTTATTGCATTTCTACCCTGTTTTTCCTCAAGGACTTCAAGGCACTGCACATCTTTCATTTAATCCTTACAATAATACTGTGGGATGGACTGGCCTGAGAAGAAATGATATAGCCAAAGCCACCCACTGCCTGGTTCTAGCCCAACATTTTAAGCTAAAATGAAACGGTGGGACTTTGGTGAATCTAATTTCCAAGCCTGTAACTATTTTTTTCTGCTGGTCGCCGAGTCTTTTGTGAATCAGGCAATGCTCTGTGCTCTAAGCATATTGCTGCAAGCCAGCCTTTTTTCCCCTTTGTCCACACAAGGATCACACCTGTCCCTCATCTCTTTCCACAGGTCTGATCACTCATGAAGGCTCCTCGGTGTATCGAATATTCAAGCGCTGGCAGGCAGTGAACCAGCAGTGGAAGGTGCTGAATTATGACAAAGCCAAGGACCTGGGGGAACCCATTGGCGGGAGCACAAAGCCAGGGGGGCGGAATTCACGGACGAATCCCTCCTCAGGGAGTGAGAGGACCTCCCAGCGGGGCCAGCGGGTTAGGACTATTTTGAACCATCACTGTGGTTATACAATTCTGCACATTCTCAGCCACCTGCGGCCTAATGAACATCGTGGGGGCTCCGGTTCCAGCCGTGAAGTTGTCATGAGGGTGACGACCGTATAATAGCAGCCTAGGGAGCTTTTGTCAAGAGGGAGAGGCTCTGCAGATCCGATGGAAGGAAGACACCGATGCCCTCGCTTCCACACACAGGCTCCATTCTGAGCCCCTACGGGGTTGGCCACACGCTGAATACTGTCCGACGAAGGAGGCACCTGGTTCTGTGGCATTGCTACAGACCCCGCCCGGCCCTTCCTTGTAAGGGAGGAGTGCCTCAATTTGGTTTCCTCTTCCTGATCTCCCATCAATGTGAATTATTTTCCTTTCCATCCAGGCCTGTGATGAAAGGAGAGACCCCCCTCCCCACCTCGGCCCAGCCCTCCTGACGCCACCTCCCTGGCTTCTCTTGTTATGACTAAACTCTTTGGAAGTTGGGTGGGCTTTTATTTATTTTATTTTATTTATTTAAAAAGAGCCCTTGCTGGGTCCCTTTCTGGACAAGTCTTGGCGCCAATCGATCCAGAAATTTGGAAACATTTTTTACCTCATCTTTCAAAGGAAATCCTGCCAGAAGAACCACGCCTTTCCACCCTCATCCTGTTGCTCTCTTTCTCTCTGACCAGGAGATGCCAACCAGAGAGGTTCTGAACTTTGACCATCCCCTCCCAAAAAATAAATTTAAAAAATGGTGCAATAAACATGTTTCTTAAAGCAAAATGGCATCTTGCAATAAGATTGCTGCACATTTCATCTTTAATTTACTGCATGAAGATCTGTTTTTCCTCTTCTCCTTTCCCTCCCTTTCCTTTCTCTCCAATTATGGAAGGATAAAGGATTGTTTATATACAAATAGGTGTCTTCCATTTGCATTGTGCACTTTTCTTTTTAAAGTTCTATTCCAGAGAGGTGGACATGTATGTGATAGGTCGTGGCGGGAGGGGGGAAGTATGCACTTGGGGGAGTCACCCAGGGAGTTGGGTGGGAGCTTCTCTGTACGGCCCTAGGGCCTGTTCTGAGAAGAAGGAGCTTAAGTCTCTATCATCTAGGCCTAAATTACTTTGAACTGAATGGGATTTATTTCTGAGTGGACATTTATAGGATTGCTCCATACAACCTATTCATGTAACAATTACAGTAATTGTTTCTTTCATATAAGAATTTGACCTCAACTGTAGCCCGATCCTATGCTTGTTGACTTGGAAATAAGTGTTATTTGAAGTTCAGTGGCAATTTACTGCAATGAATAGGCAGAGGACATTAAGTGTCACTGGTATCTCTTTCTTGCCTTAGCTGAATATGTTACAATTGAGTTTTTCTAAATTTGAAAAGATATGTTGTGACATTTTGAGACTTTCAAGCATATAGTTGGGGTTTCTTTTCCCCAAATTCTTCCCCAAAAGGACGTTTCTGTTCTTTGGGTTTATTTGTGAATGTGGGATTCGCTCCTGAACCTGACCATTGAGAAATCTTTAATTTGATTTTTAAAGAAGACTTTCTTAGTCCTATGGTTATGGACATAATATCTGTTGCCTTAATATGGATGCTCAAAGCAAGGGTCTTTAATTGCCCTTTTAGGCAAGCGGGCAGGATCTGGTTTGTCAAGAGACACTCCCCAAATGCATTGTCTTTGAAAACTGTATTTTCAAATTCTTAATAGAGTACTTATACATTTCAACTTCTGAAACTAAATATATGATGTAAGAAATATTGGAAGAGAAATGAGAGCAAATTATATACTTGAATTTTAGGCAAGAGAAGTATGAGAGAATACTGCAATTGTAAGCAGAAAGTGCATCATGTAAAAATTACAGAGAAGCTATAGTAATGTTTATAGAAACCTCAAGATATTTGTTGATATATAGACAAGATATAGATAATCAACCCAAACCAATCCACTTCAGGTTGAAGGTCTCTTTGTTAAAGGTTATGAAGCGTGATCTTTAATCTATGACCTGGCCCAGTTTGGGCCGGGAGATAGATATTTTTCAACTTTCTTGTCCAGGGCTGAGAAAGAGTGGCCCCGAATCACCCAGCTGGCTCCCCTGCCTAAGGAAGGACTAGAACCTGGGTCTCCCTACTGCTAACCCAGCATGTTAACTACTACACTCTATTGGACAGGTATGGATGATGTCGATATAAATATAAACTAACTCAATTTAACTTTTAGTAGAGTTTTCAACTATTATTTAAATAGCTATGCCAGACAAATGTCTGCCAAGCAAAATGAACAACAATTTGAAATTTTAATTTTCAGTTTCACCTAAGTATATAGCAGTTCAATTAGTTAATACAATCGCTTATAAGTGTCTGTATGGCAGTGTAGTCTGTCAGTGAGAAGAAAAGGAAGTTTTACAGCGATGAAAACCACAGCAGGGAAAATGAGCAAAATAAACTGTGAGCTGGAAATTAAGACAGTCACAGCATAGCCACCAGTACAGATCTCTGCAGAGCGGAAATGAGTGGCTATTATTGTGACTACTATTTTTTCTTCCTAAGAATGTAACGTACCATCTAAATTGGATGATGCTCCTATTGGGCCAACCTAGAGGTTGCAGTGTGGGTAGCCATCCTAATGCTTGGCCATCCTATGCTTATTAATCAACTTTTTCACAAAGTCAGTCTTTGCAAGATCATCTGGAATTGCATTCCGCTGTTCAGCAACAAATGCAAATGCCTGTTCATAGAAGAGCTGAGTCTATATAGCCTCAGGCAGGAGTTTCCAGAGAGTGGATGCTTTACAAAAATGTACAGCAAGCTTCACATTCAACACTGATATCTAGCAACACCAATTTTAAATATTACAAGGATTTCTGAAAAGTGTTCCCTTGGGCTCAGGCCTCAGTGGGGTTAATATGAATGCCTGTCCTGGAAACCCCTCTAACCATTCTGTGCCAATCCAAATCTGGGGGTGAAAGCTGCTATGTTATTGGCATGTCATGATGCCTTAACACAGCATCATCCGGGGATAGAAGCACTACCTCCGCTGGACCACCAGATATGATCATGGCAACGTGGAAGGTGGATGGTGGAAGACTCCCAAGAGTCTTCTCAAACCTACCTTTGTGTTTCTACTCCATCCAAAGACCCTATTCTTCACTATTCTTGATAAAGGATAACAAAGTTTACCTGGCTGGCTATGATTGTCCAATCATATCTTGGTCCTCATCCCTTTTCTGTCAACGGTATTCAGTGAGTAAAACACTCACTGTATTAAGCTGCTAGTCCAGAGCCATAAAGAAGCAGCAGTACTCCCACCTTTCCTCCAGGCAGCTTCAATAGCGCCTCTCTTTTTCCATTTTTCCCACTCTCTCAGGTTGGAGGTTGACTTAAACATGGCTCTCCCCAGTTCTAATTCAACACCACAGTCATCCCCACCCCCACTGCCTGTCTAACAGTGCCACACTCAGCCACGCTGCTGCCCTAACGAAATCTCTGAGCGAGCTGCTCATCTAGCTGGATGATGCGTCTCATAATGTGGATCTGGAAAGAGGGAGCAGGTTGATGAGGCAGGATTACAGCTGTGACTTTATTGCAGGGCCTTCTTGCTGCCAGGATTATATCCCTGCTAAAGGGTCCCTGGGATAGGTGAGGTACCCTTATTCCTCATTTACCGTAATTGACAAACTCCCTTTGAAGCTGAGCATTCTGGATGCTGCTATTCTTGCACAGTGACTGTCATGGTAGAGGGAGTAGCAGGGGCCGGAGAACTAAAAAAGGAGGTCTCTACGAAGAAGTATCACCCTTGTACAAGAGGGCACCTATGTAGCACAAATGGCTGAGGGATGTGAGGCACCCAGGAGGAGGGGCAGCTTTTACTCAGCTCAAAGCAAATGGTCAGTATTCCCACTAGTGACCAAACTGACAGCCTGGAAATGCTGAAACAATATTTAAAGGAGAGGAAAGCCTGAGCAGAAGGGGAGGAAAGATCCAACTTGGCGTTTCTCTTCTTTACATACCAGCTACCTGATGTGAGCTTCACTGGTTTTCAATATTTTGAAGGGGGAGAGCAGATAGGACACTGCTTCTGAGAGATGAATGGGAAAGGGCACCACCATTCATACACAGGTAAGAAGATCCTTTTAGTGATGTTTCCAGTAGTTTGGCATAACTCCCTGAATGTGTTTATTACTTTGCCCAGTTCATAACATTCAGCGCAATTATGACTCAGGCAAAATCTTTCACCCATGTTTCCCCAATGCATACAGTTACACGGGTTTCAGAATGGAGAGCTTCTTCAAAGCCCTACATACTGTGGCCTGCACAAAACACCTTTCACACTGCACGTTCTCTGGGCCTTCTTTCTAGATATGTGGAGTCAATGTGGGGAATCAGATTTCCAGGTGACTTTTAGCCCTGCTTAGGGCAGCGGCAGGAAATATGAGCATATGTGCCCACCAAATCCTTTTCTGCAGCCTCTGCTCACAGTTGCTAAAAATCAGGGGCACAGAGACTTGCTTGGATGGGACAGGAAACACAACAAAATTATGGTGTAAGCCTTAAGGCTAGTTATTTTTTCTCCAATAAATACATAAACTCACTCCCCAAATATAGGAAAAAAACAAAGTCAGTCTTGGGTCTACCCAGACATGTGGCAAAGCCTCACCTACTTGGAAACATGATCCCTTCTTAGTTTCATGCCTCCCCCCCCCCTCCCAGAATGAAGAATGAATCCCTGTCTTATGCCATGAGGAGTTGGTAGGGCAGATTGAACAAAAGTACAACTTGAAGACAATTGGAGAAGGCCCATACTTACACCTCCATCAATACACATTTCCTAATCATATGAGGTCAAAGATAACTGTTTGAAAACCCACAAGTCCCAACCCTGCAGACACTCACAGTAAAGCATAACTATACCAAAGGGGATTAGAAAACAAGCTGCCAAGGGAAATGTGCCCATCCCTAATGTATATGCCACAGGATTTGGAAAGTGGCTGCCGCTGAAAACCCAGTTAGAAGTGAATGGGGACAGCAGATAGTCATGGCGCATACACGCGTCTGTGTGTGTGTATGCGTGCACAATGTCCTCTAGAGGTAGCCATGATAACTGAGGATAATGGGAGTTA